CTATACCAAATTAGTCACCTATGAGATTGTTTACAAAATTCTAGACAGCTGCTTGCAAATGAGAAAATGGCATTTCCAATATTGGAGATGCTTTAGAGTATCCTCCACTCTTCATTTTAATGACCATCTGCTCCATTTCCAAATGAGGCACCAATTCAGTTTAATTTTATACACAGTTAAGAATGATTTTTTTTTTAGTCCCAGTCCTTCTGGGGCTTCTAAAATAGAAGGAATCACACACACGCAAGCACCCACTTAGAAAGATCCATACTCTCTGGTAGGTCCACACCAGCAGCTGTAACAAATAGGCCCGAAATTCCTAAGCCTTAATACAGTTGGTGGTTACTTCTTATTTATGTAACAACCTAATGGAAGCATTGCTGCTTGGCCAGAAAGCTTTTCACCTGGTGATTTGGGAACCCAGGCTTTGTGTACCCCATGGGGCTCCCACCTGGGGGGTCTCAGAGTTCCTTTACTGATGGCAGCAAGGCAAAAAGCACAGAGGAGGCATACCCCTTCCTCAAAACTCTGGCTTCCAAATGAAGCACATCACTTCTACTCATTTCACATTGCTAGAAATTTATTATGAGGTCATGCCCAACTCTACGGAAGGCTAAGGAATGCTGTCGATATGCCCAGGAAGAAAAAAGAGAAAACACATTTGAATGAATCATCATCAGTTTCTGTCCCCGCCTTGTTCTCATAGTACAAGGCAGAGAGATGCTGTAAGGTTAGTAAAAAGTGCCCTCGGGTATGGGAAGAAGGAGCTTAATTTTCACAGTGGACATCTGGAAAGTTGTGTGGAGGAGTGAATTTTGACTGGGACATGAATAAAGAAGTCTTGATAGGAAGAGATGGTAACAGGCATAACTGAGACGAAGGTTGGTGCCAAGAGAGATGAGGTCTGAAGCCAGGTGGGAGTGAGAGAGTGGGGAGACATGTATGCCTGTGCCTTGGTCTGTGCATAGGCAACTCAGAGTCAACAGTAAACATTATTTTAATAATCTCTTTTTCTTGGTTTTCCCGTGCTCCTTCTTTAAGCAATTAAATAACAAACAGAATTCTACCCTCCATCATGAGTATCTTGGTCCCTAATGTGAAGATATGAAATAATTAGAGAGTGTACTGTGTACAAACCTTAATGTCATGGAAACTTCTATTTTCAAGACTGTGCTAATTACACAGGATGAGGCAGAACAAAGGGAAGATGCACAATTAGCAGAGCACAGCTTATTATAACCAGCTCTGCTTAGAGCCTCTTCTGAACCTAGATATGTAATAAATCAATATATAGTAGTGACCTAGCATTTAGTTTTTAGAGAACTCTAAATTTTGGAAATGCAGGATTTGGAATGTGAGATTTGGCCATTTGGAATTCGACTGTGGGGATGGTATGGGAGACTTTCACATTCTGGTCTACATAATAAAGAGGAAAAAGCAGGGTCTTTAGAGGGAGAAGATGGCTTCCTTGGTCTGCCACTCACTGGTTGGGCAATCATAACCTCTCCGAGCTGCTTCCTCCACTGTGTGGGGTTAGGGGATAGTAATGTGTATGAAAGCACCTAGTGCTGAGCCTAAACTATATTAAGGACACAATTTTAAATTTAGATCCATTTCCTTTCCCCTTCCATTTGCTTTCCATATCTTAGTGGCTTAAGACAATTAGTCTGTTAAGTCCATCAGGGGCTCTGTTCTTTTCAGTCACACAGACTCCAGGCTGAAGGAGAAACCACATCTGGAGCCACAGCACAGTCAGAATGCCACAAGGAAAGGGAGCTAGGGAGTCTTGCAACAGCAATTAAATGCTCCAGCATGGAAGACCTACAGATCCTTTCCACTCACAACTCATTGGTCCTTCCACAATTCTTTAGTGAGATTTCATTCATCTCAAATAAAAATCCTTCAGACTTTAAGAAGTGTACAAGAATGACTGTAACAACAGACGGATGTACTTTCTCTAAAGCTACCAAACTTCAATAAAGGCAGTTATAATATCAGGGGCTCTATTTGAGCAGTGTCAAGGATAAAAAAAGTACCTTCCTAGGCTGGGTGCAGTGGCTCACATCTGTAATCCAGAACTTTGGGAGGTCGAGGTGGGTGGATCACCTGAGGTCAGGAGTTCAAGGCCAGCCTGACCAATGTGGTGAAACCCCATCTCTACTAAAAATAGAAAAATTAGCTGGACATGATCGTGCATGCCTGTAATTCCAGCTACTTGAGAGGCTGAGGCAGGAGAATCACTTGAACCTGGGACATGGAGGTTGCAGTGAACAGTGAGCAGTGATGCCACTGCACTTCAGCCTGGGTGACAAGAGTGAAACTCTGTCTCAAAAATAAAAAGTACCTTCCTTGTCAAAACTCATGAGGACTGACTCAGATCTTCTTTTCTTCCAAAGAAGATACATTGTATAGCATGCAATTTGCTTTCTACTACCGGGTTTTGTTTTGTTTGCAAACAAGATCTTAACTGCAAAAGACTTAAACATCCAAGGGCCTATGATGAAGCTCATATAAGTTGGGCTTTTCCATAGATTCTGTTGCCAGAATATTAGAAATTGATATGAAAAGCTGAGAGCTTAAAAGTTGCACAGTATTATATATTATTCAATTGCAAAGTGCTGTGTGCTGCCCATTCCAAGCCTTAGCTATGAATGGCCTATACGACCAAGTGCATCTCAGTATTGACTGAAAGGATAGATGCTCTTAGCTCTTGGGAAAGCATTAGGATTGCATTATCATGTCAATAGCCCACATGCAAAGTTCTTGATAAAAACTATAATAATCCAGAGGCAGAGATCAAATATGAGAGTTTGATTTGTGTAAACAAATCAAAAGCATTTCGAGTCAAGCTACTTATCTGTCTTAAAGCATTGCCAGGAATATAAACATCAGAACAGCCTAAGAGGCAGGCAGCCTGTAGTAGAAGGAGAACTTTTAATGTGCTACTTTTTCTTGCTTTGCTGTAATCAAGCCATATTGGCTATCTTTCAATTTTACAAACCAGCCAAACTTAACACTTTTTGTCTTAAAGCTTCTATAAATCATCCTCCGCCTCTTCAGAGATCCCTCTTATAATGGGATAGTCTCAGTTGTGCTGCAATAATAAATAGCTTTCCATATCTTAGTAGCTTAAGACAATTAAAGTTTGTTGTTTGCTCAGGCTACAGGTCCAGGTCCACTGTGGGTCCACTGGGGGGCTCTGTTCTTTGCAGTCACAAAGGCTCCAGGCTGAAGGAGAAACCACATCTGGAGTCACAGCACCAGTCAGAATGCCACAGGGAAAGGGAGCTAGGGAATCTTGCAAGAGCAATTAAATGCTCCAGCATGGAAGTCCCACAGATCCTTTCCACTCACAACTCACTGGTCATCCCACATCCCATGGCCCCAGGCTATCTGGTCCTCTCACGTGCCTGGAAGGGAAGGGCCATGGGGAAAGCCCTTTTGACTCTCATGCCTCCCCTCACCATCCTTTCTAAAGCAGGTTCCACTTCTTCACTGCCTGAGCACCCTGTTTGTTTTCTTCAGAGTGCTTATTATGATTTGTAATTGTATTATTTTTTAATTTTCTGTTTTGTTTGTTGTCTGTTTCCTCAACTGGACGCTAAGATCCCTAAGAGGAAGGATTATTTATACCAACAGGCTGATTCCATAAAGCTGTTCTCAAAAGTATCCAACCAGACTCACATATTTAAAATAGTCTATTTTTATCTTGAACTTGGAGAATCCTATGACTATAATCTCATGTCTCTTAGTCTGTGTCCACCCATTTAGGCTGTGTGCAGACCCAGCTCCCCTCCTCATTAGAGGGTCCTCTTGCTACTCACTGTCAGGGGTTGAAACAAAGACCAACTGCATGTTCCCTCCAGTGCGGTCAGTAAGCGGAGGGAAGAAAATATCAACTGAAGCCTTACAGGAATCTCACAAAGTCTGTGAAAACCAACATACCCAGTGCGATTACTACACATTGTATAAATGAGGACCAGGAGAGAGGAATTTGGTGAACTGGAGTTTTATTGAACTTGCTTTTGGCGAATTAGCTCACGGGGAATTGGCTCAGAGCTACCCGCCGCCTTCCACTAACAATTGTATTTCAGGGTCCGATTCTGCTTGGCATTTTGAAGACATTCTGAAATAACTGTCGCTTTCATGGACATGGAAACTGTAGTTTAGAAAGGTTAAGTAAGTGGCCCAAAGTCACAGAGGCTATGATGGGAAAGATAGGAGTGGCATCCAGGTGACCTCTCGCCAGCGTGGTGCTTCTTTCCCTGAATCACAGTCCGTATAGGCTGCAATCATTTTTATTCATCTAACATGCCATTTAGGGCAAAAGTGTATAGAGGAATATTCTCAGTATTTATCTTGCTTTTTATCACTTTAAATAAAAACATTTTAACAATTATGCACTATTTTAGAGAATTTTAGTAACGGTACCATCATTTTCTATACAAAATCCTACTATTTCCCACTGAAATGAGAAATGATTGAAGTACACTTGCCTGTGTGATGAGTTTATTTCAGCAAGGAAGTCAAGAATCAATTAGTGATGGCCCTGGAGAAATGCATTTTAAATGGGAATTGTCTTAGGTAACTAAAGCATATCTTGAATATGCTTTCCCTAATAGTTCATCTTAAAAGAAGCCACCACTAAAATCAGTCAAAGGTTTTATAGACACCTATAAATACAAATTTTTTTAAAAGACACTTTTTTTGTAAGCTGTGAGATTTTTTCTCCTGTATCTTTCAGAAAAGAAGACTTTTTCCTGCACATCCTGCACATGTATCCCGGAACTTAAAATGAAATTAAATAAAAATTTTTAAAAAGAAATACAAATTTTATGGCAAGGATATTTTGCATACTATAGTAGGTAAACATTAATAAAAAAACTTAGACCTTTCTCTCTGCTCATTAGTCTGTAGATGCTGATTTCCAACTTTGTAGAGTTGCTGTTATTTTTCCTTGATGCGGGGCTGCATAACTGAGAAATGGGTTTCTCTCTTACCTGTTGGCTCATGTGTGCTGTGTTTTCCTTCTTCTTACTAAAAGTGCAGGAAATCAAGCATGGTCTCAATCAGTCTGAGGAGGAGATTCAAGGTGCCCGTGACAGGAGCAAACTGCATAGCCCTACGTGGACAAGAAGAAGAGAGAAAAATTTAGAAATAATGGAAATTAATTGGGTTCAGAGAAATGAAAACAGAACTGCCACTTAAAAAATACTCTCTAAGTACAATACAATGCAAAGAACAGCATGTGGGTAGGCGCTGAATAGAGGTGCACTGAATGAAACAAGTATGAATAAATTAACCTCATGTAGGGTTTGAACTGGTATTAGGATTAGAAACTCAGATGCCTTCAAGCCCATGGAGGTGGTATCAATGAGTGAGCAGACGGGGTGTGAGAAGATAAGGACTGGTAGGCACTGTGGTGAGCTAGTGAGCCCATGCCCCATCTGAAGGGGCAGCTACTGCTCAGGTCGAGTTGATGATTTTACTGATGCCACAAAGATAAGCAGGCCCAATGATGTCACAACCTCCAACTTTTAGGGAAAAACAGAAATACAGATTTTTAAATGTTAAATCTCTTAGTTTTGTACTTTAGGATCTAATTTTTAACACAAAACAAAACTTCGGACAGGTCAAACAAGGCTAAAACCAAAGCCCATGTGACGGGTCAGGATTGGCTCATGGTGACCGGCTTTTACCTAAGGTCTACTGCAACATCTTCGCTTCTCAAGTGATGTTTAAAAAAAAAGGTTCAGAGGGCTGAAGCTACATTGAGCAAAGACATTTGGTTCATTCGTGACACAGCTGGGATTTTAGGCATGCGCACCTTCCCTTTCAGTGAAGACATTCACTGTCACTTATGACCACTCTGCCACTGGCTGAATCTGATCAGACCCGTTTTAATAACAGGATGGAAGCCAACTAGACCTGCCTTCTATTGATCAGATTCTTGGGTCTCAAGTTATATGTATATAAAACTTTGTAATGAAAGGTAGAACGTTCTATGCTAACTGTCCATATCATGGAATAAGTTCTGGGTAATGGCGAGTGACTGAAATGTGATGGGTCCTCATATGAAATAAAACTCTGATTACAGGCATTTTGTTTGGGATGGTGTTTAAGCATTGTGGCCCCATGTGAAGAATACAGAGAGGCACAAGTGGGTTCCAGTGGATCCATTTGCTGGTTCCAGTTTCTGTTAAAATGCTCTCTGTTTCCATGATCAATGCTGTGTGATGGGTAAGTGTATGGGTGGGGTTTAGAGATTGACCCAGCCACTGACTATACTTAACCTCTCTAGGTCCCATGTACAAAATCGTGATAACAGTGCCTGAATCACAGAGTTGTCATGAGGTTCAAATGAATGAATACATATAAAGTGCTTAGGATGGTGCTTGCATAGGTAGTCATCAATGTTAGCTAGTATTTGTAACAACTACCAACATTTACTGAATTTAGTTTAGAAAGGTTACTTACATGTATTATATGCCATGATATCCACAATCCTCTTAGTTTTGTATTACTACCTTCATTTTAAGAATGGGAAAACATAACTGAGGGAGAGCAAGTCTATTGCTCAATGTCATCCTGGGATTAGTGGAGCCAGTGTTTGAACATAGCTCAACTCAGCCTAGCCAGTAGCTTAACCTACCTCTCCAGTGCCTTGTCATTTGTTTAACTGAAGACACACTTTAGAACTTAAAAGGAAAGCAAGTCATATTTGGTCAAACACCAATTGCTAATCAAGTCAAATATCAAAGCAAAAGAGTCCCAAAGCAAACAATGTGAAGCACTGCAATACTTAGGAATCTTTTGCCTAATGTAAAAAATGTCTTATTCCAATAATGGGAGTGTGCCATGTAACTAAGCATAAGATGGGAGAGCATGTAGTCAGTTTTTAATGTGCATTGAACCCTCATTGTGCTCTTCAAAGTGCTGCATCTCTTACTAGATTATCTGCTTAATATTGAGAAATAATGGAGATAGCTTTTAAGAACGTAAACATGTATTAAATGTTGACATTCAAAAAATAGCACCTGGAAGATTTTACTCTAGCATGTTTTTGAAAAAATTTCCTTGCTTTTATAGAATTTACTATGCAAAGAGTAGAATAAACATAAACATTATTAAAATATATGAAGCATTAATATGAAGCATCTTCTATAAAACATTATTATTGTCATTAGTATTTTAACTGCATTTTAGGTTTTGGGGTACATGTGAAGAACATGCAAGATTGTTGCATAGGTACACACATGGCAGTGTGATTTTCTGCCTTCCTCCCCATCACCTATATCTGGCATTTCTCCCCATGCTATCTCTCCTCAACTCCCACCTCCCCACTGTCCCTCCCCTATTTTCCCCCGACAGACCCCAGTGTGTGATGCTCCCCTCCCTGTGTCCATGTGTTCTCACTGTTCAACACCCGCCTGTGAGTGAGAACATGCAGTGTTTGCTTTTCTGTTCTTGTGTCAGTTTGCTGAGAATGATGGTTTCCAGGTTCATCCTTGTCCCTACAAAGGACATGAACTCATCGTTTTTTATGTCTGCATAATATTCCATGGTATATATGTGCCACATTTTCCCTGTCCAGTCTATCATCGATGGGCATTTGGGTTGGTTCCAGGTCTTGCTATTATAAACAGTGGTGCAATGAACATTCACGTGCATGTGTCCTTATAGTAGAATGATTTATAATTCTTTGGATATATACCCAGTAATGGGATTGCTGGGTCAAATGGAATTTCTATTTCTAGGTATTGATGGAACGTATCTCAAAATAATACAAGCTATTTATGACAAACCAACAGCCAATATCATACTGAATGGGCAAAAACTGGGAGCATTCCCTTTGAAATCTGGCACTAGACAAGAATGCCCTCTCTCATCACTCCTATTCAATATAGTACTGGATGTTCTAGCCAGAGCAATCAGGCAAAAAAAAAGAAATAAAGGGTATTCAAATAGGAAAGAAGGAAGTCAAATTGTCTCTATTTGCAGACAACATGATTGCATATCTAGAAGACCCCATCGTCTCAGCCCAAAATCTCCTGAAACTGATAAGCAACTTCAGCAAAATCTCAGGATACAAAATCAATGTGCAAAAATCACAAGCATTCCTATACACCAATAACAGACTTAAAGAGAGCCAAATCAAGAATCAACTGCCATTCACAATTGCTACAAAGAGAATAAAATACCTAGAAATACAACTAACAAGGAACATAAAGAAGCTCTTCAAGGAGAACTACAAACCACTGCTCAACGAAATAAGAGAGGACACAAACAGATGGAGAAACACTCTATGTTCATGGTCAGGAAGAATCAATATCGTGAAAATGGCCATACTGCCCAAAGTAATTTACAGATTCAGCACTATCCCCATCAAGCTGCCAATGACCTTCTTCACAGAACTGGAAAAAAACACCTTAAACTTCATATGGAACCAAAAGAGAGCCTGCATAGCCAAGTCAATTCTAAGCAAAAAAAACAAAGCCGGAGGCAACACACTACCGGACTTCAAACTATACTACAAGGCTACAGTAATCAAAACAGCATGGTACTGGTACCAAAACAGAGACATAGACCAATGGAACAGAACAGAGGCCTTGGAGGCCACACAACACATCCATAACCATCCGATCTTTGACAAACCTGACAAAAACAAGCAATGGGGAAAGGATTCCCTGTTTAATAAATGGTGTTGGGAAAACTGGCTAGCCATGTGCAGAAAGCAGAAACCCCTTCCTGACACCTTACACTAAAATTAACTCTGGATGGATTAAAGATTTAAACATAAGACCTAACACCATAAAAACCCTAGAAGAAAATTTAGGCAAAACCATTCAGGACATAGGCGTAGGCAAGAACTTCATGACCAAAACACCAAAAGCATTGGCAACAAAAGCCAAAATAGACAAACGGGATCTAATCAAACTCCACAGCTTCTGCACGGCAAAAGATACAATCATTAGAATGAATTGGCAACCAACAGAATGGGAAAAATTTTTTGCAGTCTACCCATCTGACAAAGGGCTGATATCCAGAATCTACAAAGAACCAAAACAGATTTACAAGCAAAAACAAACAAGCCCATTCAAAAGTGGGCAAAGGATATGAACTGACACTTTACAAAAGAAGACATACATGAGGCCAACAAACATATGAAAAAATGTTCATCATCACTGGTCATTACAGAAATGCAAATCAAAATTACATTGAGATACCATCTCACATCAGTTAGAATGGCGATCATTAAAAAATCTGGAGACAACAGATGCTGGAGAGGATGTGGAGAAATAGGAACACTTTTACACTGTTGGTGGGAGTGTAAATTAGTTCAACCATTGTGGAAGACAGCTGGTGATTCCTCAAGGACCTAGAAATATAAAACATTATTGAATAAAGAAAAGGGAAGCAAGGAATAGAAGGAATGAGAAGTTGCTGAATGCTGCCACGGGACAGACCCTATCCTAGATATTGTTATGTTCATCATAGCACTCACTGAGTGAAAAATAACCAAACCAGAACCAAAAAAAGGTGTGGAAAATGTGTATATGGCTAACTCAATTTCCCATGGACAGATGTACGTTTGAAACTTAAATCTTACTCAGATATAACTTTTATCTTGAATATCCATTCTATTTGGTTTTGGGATTTTTTTTCTTTTCACACATTAAAAAATAATTTAAGCAAAGCAAAGGCAGGAAAGGAGGTGTCCTTTAAACCAAAATGCTTAATTGCCATAATGCAGGAAAATATTAACTAGAAAACATACAGATGCAAATGTTCTCTGCTTTAGAATGAACTGAACATTATCCTAAGAGATAATGACATATATTCACAGCAATAATATAGAAAAGGGAATATATTGTACAAGAAAAGATGAAGAATATGAGCTATTTTCTTTAGTCTGATTTCTAAAGTATAATTTTAGTATTTAAGTTAGAGGCATTGCAACTTTCCAGAATATAAAATGTATCTACATTCAAATGTTGGTTTTAGAATACAAAATAATATTTCAAAGTCAAGTAGAAATGAATTTGTTCATTATCTACTCTTTTGGATAATTGCCATTATTGCTATTTCTCCTTGGGCAGATAAATGAAAATTGATCATATA